AAATCTATTGTTAGATCTAAAATTGAATATCCCTACTCTACATCGTGTAACGCTCCTGCGTATACATTAAAAAAAAAAAAATACAAACCTTTCAACACTCAATCCTAAGACGTTGTACCGGTTTGTCCCCCTCAAAATCGATCAGGGTCTTGTCTTCGAATCGCTTGTCTGCAAAAACTTAACCACTTCGTCGAAAATAACTTCAAAATATACGCAACGGATGGATCTATCAATTCGGACATCTCTAGTTTTTCAATTATTGAATACCCAAACTTACTTATAGGAAAATTTAAAGTTCTACAAGAACTATCATCCACTTTCATTGAACTTCTGGCCATCAGACAAGCAATCATCCACGCATCTGAAATTAAGCTGAAAAAATTTGTAGTTTTCTCTGACAGCAAATCTGCTCTAATTTTAATCAAGAACAAAGACCCATTCAATAAGTATGTCTTCGATATCTACAACCTTTTAAAAGACACAAGTATTGAAAAATGCCACATCATCTGGATCCCAGGTCACTGCGGTTTTAGTATCAATGAAAAAGCTGACTTCCATGCTCGTCAAGCTAGGTTCGATGGTACAGTTTTGTCCATAAACTACCCCCCCAGCGAAGCTTTTCTGCTAGTCAAAAAACTCATCATAAAAGAATGGAAAGATGAGTATCATGTTTTAGCTAGAGAAAAAAGTGACCGGCTGTTCTACAAAATTTACCCTTTTTTGACACCCACGCTTCTACCTAAAGGAAAATTCACAACATGGGAATTTAAAGTTCTTCACCGTCTTATGAGTAATCACACCTACGACAAGGTCTATTTTAAAATGATCAAAGTCTCCTCCTCTGACATCTGTGAGGATTGCAATATTACTGAGTCTGCCGAGCACCTTATTTTTGAGTGCAGGAGGTTTGACATCCTTAGACAATCTTTCAGTATATTTAACCTGTATAACAATCTATATGAAATTTTTCGTGCTGGTAACTTTAGGCATTTGAAGCAACTGACTGCCTTTATCAAATCAGCTGAGTTTTCATTCTAATTTTACATTTAGTATTTCTATTACAATCACGAATCGCCTACACTTTTTCTTTTATCGGCATTATTAGCCGGATCTTGACAGTACAGTAACAAGGACGGTGATTTATGGATTGACAGCGGAACAGAGCCTCTCATTGCGAACACTCTGTCACATCAGTCTACCTATGCTTAAATTTTTTCATCAATCGCTCTCAACTTCGTTTCTGGATTATGGATCTAACATTAACTTAACTGGTCCAATCCATCTCTAAACAAACAAAAAAAAAATAATAAAAATAAGTTGTCGTTGTTAGAGCAAGCTAGTCAAAACTACGTTTACCACCGGACTCCCGATCAGAAATCTGTTGATGTCAGTCCTGATATTACTAGCGTTTTTAGTTCGACCTTCGAAAAGCGTGAACTGGAATTTTCTTGCACTAACAATTATGATCGAATTTTCCGCATACTATTTATTGAATTTATGTCACGTAGGCGGAGAGGTCTGTTGCGTTTAATTGATGGCAAATGGATTCGACCTCGAACCTAACGAGAAGCGTTTGCTGAGATTTGAGGTTGAGCCTCAAGGGTATGGTGACTTTTATGAACAGTTTGTTATAAAATTTGAAAATTTCCGCGTTAAACGCTTCGTTAACATTGTTATTTGCGAAAATGAGAAACATATTGAAACTGTAAGACAAAGTTTGAGCGAAGCAGATCATAATGGCAAAATATCATATAATGATAGGAATACGTCACAAAAATCCCGTTTCTACGATGGTTAGGTAAGATGTGAATAATAACTTATATTTTCATTCATAAAGAGCAGTGAGTCCCCCCCAAATGTGGCCTAAACAAATAAAGTGTATACCAGGTGTGCGTATGCAACCCAAACGTCGCTTTGTAGCCGCTCGTATCGGAAGCTTTGATGTACCCGAACGACTAAAACGGGCGTACTTCGAGTTGCAAAAAGGACATGTTGGAAAACATTGAATATATGTTCCCGAGTCTTAAAGCAGAATTAAACGTAAGTAACTACGTGAGTCGCTTTCAAACACTCGTATATTTAGAAGAGATTGAGTGTTTTGCCAATTTCCGCATGTATGACCGTGAACGAGCGCATTTCACACTTGAGGGAGAGTATTTAGCTCTGACCATAGAAAATCTTTCCGAATGCCTTCCTTCGTTGGCAATTGGAGACATTGTTAAAGCCGAAAACCCCTGGGCCGACGGCGAAAATGCCAAACGCATTTACGAAGGTGTGATTCACAAAGTGCTTTTCAACCGCATTCTGCTTAAATTCGATGCCAACTTTCAGCAAAAATATAACGGCGAAGATTATCGTTTAGAATTTTACTTCTCCCGTTATGGCTACCGTAAACAGCACTACGCCGTCTCACGAGCGGTTAAAAATTAAGGCGAACAGTTCTTGTTTCCCTCCCGAGCACAGACGCGTGGATGCCCACAATTAGATATACAATTAAATGATGAGGAAAACCTCTTGTTAGGCAGTTGCCAATGTAAATGGCACAATTCCATACTGAACTCTATATAGAAAGAAGCCGTAGCAAATATATTATCAGGAGAAGTTTCCAACATGCCATACGTGAATTTCGGAACCCCCGGCACAGGAAAAACTGTGACACTAGTGGGGAGCGTTTTGCAAATTTTTAAATTGATAAACAGTGCACGTTTGCTTGTAGGCACACCTTCCAATAGTTCTGCTGATTTAATAACGATGCGTTTGATCGAATCCGATGTACTCAAAATGGGTGAGTTTATACGTCTAGTGTCCCAGAATCAAGTCGAAAAGGAACTTATACCAGAGCATTCGATGCCGCATTCCGCAACAGTGTATATTGGTATAGATGATATCTGTAAAGATGATATGATTGTGACTGACTCCGGACTCAAATTAAAATGTCAAATGAAGTATTTAGGGCGCCATCGAGTAACGATTGGTACTTGCACTACCCTAGGAAATCTTTTGCAAATGGGCTTTCCGCCGGCCAGTGCATAGAAACTGAATTTATGGTTGCTGTTGCGCAAGTATCAGAAGAGCGTGGCCAGGTAATCCTTGCTGGAGATCCCCATCAAGTGCAAGCAGTCGTTATAAACAGATATGCTCGTGAACGCGATTTTTCGCTATCATTTTTGAAGAGAATTCTTTCGCGTGCTCCATACTTAAGAAATATTGATAGTTCTCCCCTTACATGTGGTTTTGATCCTCGTTTGGTTACAAAATTACTCTACAATTACCGGGCGTTGCCGTCCATATTGAATGTTTATAATGAACTGTATTACAATGCGGAACCGGTACCAATGACAAGAGAAGAGAATTCTAGGGAAGCTAAAATGCTGAAGCAACTTGACGATTTACTGCCGCAATCACCAAATCGACCCAAAACACATGGCATATTCTTCTACGGATTACGTAATGAAAATATGCAGGAAAAAGACTCGCCGTCGCGGTATAGTTCTTACGAAGCGAAAAACGTAAGTTGTCTTTAGTTTAAAAGCGCAATCCCTTCTATCCAGTATTTCGTAACATTTATTTCATTTTTGAAGGTCTTTCTGATGACGGTTAAATTGTATCGTAATAACATTAAACCTGAATCCATTGGCATCATAACTCCATACATGAAACAAGTTAATGTTGGAATTAACACTAGTGTTGGTTTCGCTTGGTTTTTTTTAGGAACGCGATATAATATTAATTTCAACAGTGACATCAAGCAAGGAGCATATACCTAGCGATGTGCGCGAGAACGACATACACGCTTATTCTCTAAAGGCGCCAAAATTTACATGCTTATTCTTTAAAGGCACCATAGATAATACGCTTATTCTCAGATTCTCACGTAATTTTTCAATAATTGTGCATGTATTTGTATAAAATTTGTAAAAATTCCAAACAACTGAGAATGAATAAGCGTCCACACATATGTTTACATTTTTCAATAACTTTGCATTTATTTGTATAATCTATGGTGCCTTTATGGAGTAAGCGTAAATATTCTCAATAATATGTATAAAAATGCCAACCAGGCGAGAATAAGCGCATATGTTCTCAATAATTTGTAAAAATGCCAAACATGCGAGAATAAGCATATACATTTATTTACACTTCTCAATAAAAATTGCCTGAGAATCTGAGAATATTCTATGGTACCTTTAAAGAATAAGCATGTAAAATTTTAAGGTTTCTTTATCCATAATTTTTTTAATGGCAGAAAATGTTTTAAAGCAATTTTAAAATTCTTATGCTTAACAGAAGTTGCTTTCAAAATACAGAGAAACATTTAGTTCACCACAAAACGGATTGGCAATAACGGGACTGGAATGGAGCTTCTGGTTGATTGATTGACATCTTTATTCTGGCTTGTTTAGTTCTCCATTTATTTTATATGTAAACACCGACAAAATATCATAAAAGGAGTGAGCAGCGTGGCACTCTGTCTACCGAAGGAGTAAGCGTGGATTAAGGATTAAATAGTCTTTATGTTGTCAATGAATCCTGTTCTGAAAATATTCCTAAGGGTAATTGAGCTGAAGCTCTATAGTAAATGCGATTCATCACTTGGCAGTAATCAGTTTGGTTTAGGGGGAAGACATGGGCACCTGCATTCAGGTTCTAATCCAGAACTATAGGGACATCCACGAAGATATTTTTGTTTCTTTCGTAGTTTATGAAAAATTCTTTGGCCACGGATTAACGTAGCGATATCTCGACCTCGGCAACCTCTACCTACTCCTACTCCTTTTGGATTCTCGTTGGCGCACGATTATGAAGTACTGCGTCGATAATGATGCCTACCTCGGTTGTGATTTGTCGGCAACATTGTCTGACCCCATCAAAACTAGCCGAGAGGATAGTTAACAATCAAGTTAATTAAGTTACTTTTGGCCTCAATATTCAGTCATTATTATTAAATGATAAATAAAAATAAGACTATCCTTTCATTTTCTCATAAAAGTTAATGTATTTTTTAAAACGTAAAACAATAAAATTATTCGCATTTATTTTGTTTAAAAAAAGTTTTGATGATCGCAGAAGAGCAGTGGAGGGTGCTATTTGATCAATTTTACTGGCACCGTAATGCGATCATTTTCCATGCAAACCACTATATGTATTTGAAGGTTTGAAGCAGTTGATAACTGTGGGCCGTTGATAGGCATAACTGTCACTTCTACACGGCCACCATCCGGCTCTATGTAACCATCTGTGGGCTTCAGTTGTAAAAAATTGCGGTGACTACAGATCACTTCGTAATATTGACGTGATTTAAAACCATTATGTATAATTATTGGAGAGACACACCTTACGCGTGACAAATCTAATTCAACCACCCTTGGAGTAACCCACCATGATTCCTTGCCAGTTAATTTTTCAAACTGATCTTGGTCCTCTTCAGCACTTTTGGGGCATAAATTATTTTCTTCTGTTGTAGAGGAAGAGACGAGATTGTCAACCAAATAAATTGATCGGAAAAAAATCGTATCATCGGCTTCCGAAAGAAACGTTGAATTTGTTTTCAAAGTGTCATTCATAAGATCGTAGTTTAGAGTGGCTTGCATTTCGATCACTCGAAAGCCGCAAAACATATCCACAAAGGAATCCGGATGATCGTGCAACATCTTAAGTTCATCTCTAGCTACTTCTCCAGGAAACGCCGAGAACATTTCCATAGTGTAAAGCGGTATTGTGGAGCGTTCCTCTTGGGTCATTCGTTCAAATAGACGTAGAAACCTTTGACGGCTTGCCTCCGCTCCATTAATTACACGCAAATTGGCTAATGGCATCACACTGTCTACACTGATTTTCTTCATTATTTTTCTGATAAGTTCACGCTTTGGGCGAAAAATTATGCGTACTTGCGCCGTGTTGCCTGCAGCAATGATTAACTTCTCTGGATGTATTTCGAATGTATCGCTAAGGCTTGGAATAAGCAAACCAATCGTGTCCACTTTAACCGAAGCAAACGCCTCTAGCGGGCCTTTATTATAAATTGTAATAGCTCGTTCCATCGGCCGACCCAATTCGCTTAATCCGCCCATTGGTAAAAAGGGGCAACCGATGGGACCTTTTAAGATATTCTTCACGATCACAGAAGCATGTCCGCCGTAAGCATAGAGAGGGACGACAAGAAATGGAAGATTACCTACAATACTTTTGCATGAGGGGGCATAAAAAGAAAGTTTTCCAACTGCAACACCCCGTATGGTTGGACAAAAGTTTACCGTTATTGCTCGGCTTTCTTGCGAGTGCAAAATTATTGTGCTGTTGCCATGATCAGAAACAATTTGAAATCCTGGCCCGATAACTTCTATACGTAAGGGCAGACGTTTATTCGATATGTTCTTGATATGCATAGTTTTTTGACAGTTAGTGCGTAACTTGGTGCTATTCCAGGACAATTGAGTTGCACTAGTTTTTATGGGCATCAGCTTACCATCACGATTAAATCCAGCATTAGCACTTGAACAACGTGAACTACCTCGTGCAGAAGCCGACGTAACGCAAGAGGAACTGCTGGATCTGTCACTGTTTGCAGGCGATTTGCAAACGACTGCAAAACGATGATCGTTACTGCTAGTGACGTCAAACATTAAAGAATTACGATCGTTGTTGGTGTGAGATGTGGAGGATAATTGGTACCGGTGCGGTGACGATGAGGGCGAGACAACTTTTTCAGGGCTGACTTCATGTAATACACGACCAGATAGCAAAATATTCTCATTTCCCTTAGCCATTTCTGGATTTTTCGAATAACGCAAGTTAGGCGACGCAGCTAAAATGGAGTCGTCTGACACGTTATTCTCAGTTCGTGGCGAGCAACACAAATTCGATGGGCTTTCGCTGTTGCTCCTGCCTAGGGATCCTAAATTAGCTGATAACTTAGCATGGTCTTCGCTCGTATAATTATTTAAAGTTGAATAACTATTTCCATTACGAATACTATATTTACTTGCTACGTCCACTTCAATTGGACTGAGTGGCAGACGTGCTTCTATGCTACTATTATGTTTCTGTTTTTTCATGTTTCCGCTTGAGTTCGTAAATTTAATGCCGCCATCGGCCATACTTGATTTTATAGCTTGAGGATCTAAATTTTCTTTGTTTTCCAAAATCATTTGTTCCATCGAACTGAGGTTTCCTATACCATGAAATGCATTCTCTTTCGAAAAGCTCCTTCCGCTATTCGATGGTTCCATACATCCAGAATCGGTTAAAAATGCTAGTTTCTTTACTTGTTTCGTTGTTAACATATCGTTGGGGTTTAATTCGTTCCATTCGTCTATACCCAAATCACCTGTAATATAGAAATCCAAAAGCTGTTCAAGCGGTTCTCATATAAAATATAACATACGAGTAGAACTAAGTGTAACAATTTAATTTCGTTGCTTGTCTCTGCATGTGAAACTATAGAAGATGCAATTAAATGTATATAATTTATATACCATAAAAACTACATTTCCTTCTTGTATTTGCTACACGCGCAAGAAAATTACAGAGAAATAAAGAAAACGAAAGCTACCGTTCTACGACTAATAGCCATGTAGCTGCAAACGGTTTGCATTGTGTCTTGTTCGTTAAAGAAAATTTTCAGTTTGGTCGTCACATAGTCGTTTAAGACTTCATCGTTAGTCATGGTAGACTTTGGTACATAACTCTCGTGTAAGTCGATTATGAAGTATAAGCGAATAATGAAACAGACGTGCATAGGAGGTGGGTGGTATATGCGCATTGCTTATTATACATTAGGAGTGAGCAATATAATTGTCAGACTCTGTCAAGGCAAACATGAATGCACTTAATTACCATGTACAACAAACAATATTTCGAAAAAAAACAAAAAAAAAAAAAAAAAATGAAATTGATTCGTCTTACGCAATGCTTGCTCGAACACACAAACACTCTCTCTATATGAGACTTCGGAGGCGTTTCCCGAATCTTTGCTCTCTTGCTCGTTTGGAGGATGTACAGGATGTAGCCCTTCAGCATTTGAAATAGCCGTATCCTGGCTTGTTGAATTGATATTATTAGCTATAGCTGGGTTCCTGTTAGTTGCCGGTTCTAATAAAGAGCTAGTAACATCATCGTCCCTGTCATAATTCATAGCTACAGACGTACACCGTTTATTGGGGCTTTTGATAGCTACAATTTTTGAAATTTCTTGAATATCCTCGGAGAACTTGTTAAAATAACTTCCTAAAGAATAATCCATCATTGTGCTAAAAAGAAAAAAAAAGTTAAGAATTTCCAGCTTAACAAAACAACAATTTACTGACTTTAAAGCATGAGTTGTATCCAAGCGAGTGGTATTTTCAAAGTTTGTCTGACCAGTTTTTTCTCTTGCTTGAGCACTTAAAGCCTTTGTGGGAATCGCAGCAAACTTCTCAGCACATGAAATTTCGTCTGATAGAAACTTAGATAACATGAGCTCGCCGGGGCCGTAATCTTCCGCTGAGAAATTAATGTTGCAAGATTCTTTTGCCATATCATTGAACATAATTGCTCCATCGAAATCGTCTAATGACTTTGAGGTCCTTGATAACGACATATCCGCAGTATGTGGTAGACTATGCATTTTATTATTGCTCGTAAAAGAACTGCATTCTAATGATGCCATTGAGGATATGCTCTGCGTGCTATTATTAGCATTTTTTAAGCTTTCGCATAGATTTCGTATTTTAGGAACAAATGAAGTCGCAAGGATTTCTTCTACGCTCACTGTCGGTGCTTCAGATTGTTGCCTTGAAATTTTCTTCAATTGTGTTGAACGCCCGGTCATCTCCGCAGGCTCAAAGGAGATTGTATTATCTTTCAATATTGCAGATGAAAATGAATTTGTTGTATTTTTTTCCAAATGAATTGTCTCATCAGTGATAAGTTCTGATATGTTGATGGCTTCTGGTTGACGAAATAATGTGTAATCGGTATCATCCAATGAATCTAATAAAAAGCAAGAGAAAAGTTGTATTAAGTTGTACGGGATCAACTAACTTACATGCCAAAAGACTTCTTCACTCCTTAGAATAGAATGAATGTATGACAGCAAGCCATCAATATCTCTAATCATAAAGTTAGACGGTTTGACAATGATGTCTTATTGTACAATTTTAGCACAATATTCACGTACTTGTTCTCATTTACGTATGGATTATTGAAAATAGAGCGCGAATTGACTCCATTTAAGATAGCAATTGCGGATAAAAATTATTTTCGTGATAATCCTAAGTGCGCATTAATTTTCAAACCCAAATTGACAGAAGTGACAAAACTAGGTATCGTCTACGTTTTTTTCAGAATAAAGTTTTACAGTTTTCTTAGCTATTTCTTTTTATATAAGGAACCACTGCACTATTCGTGTAGCATGGTGACAGTTAGAAAGAAGGGAGAAGAGAGAAAGAGATAGGAAGGTGATAGTAGTGGACACTCAGTACTACAGATACGACCAAAGCAAACTCTACCATGCTTGAAATTTGAACACACGAGCACTGTATATAGTAGTCGGGACGCATAATTGGTTGCTCATGCCAAAAATGTAATAAACGAACAGGTTGATCCCTTCACGTCGCTTTTAATCTTTAAAACTATTTAAAAATGTAAAATATTCCCTGAAGAAAGAACAGAAGCCTATAAAATTGAAACCAGCGCTTTGGATTCTGCATACTTACTTGGGAACATGTTCATAGCACTGGCTGTTCGAGGGTATGGTTTTTTAAATACGTCAACATTTTTTGATTTTTGCAAAGCGTCCATAGCTTTTCTGCGTTCGGCCTATGATCATACAAAAGTATAAGATAACTTCTTACATTTTTATCGGATGGAATAACTTACGCTCAAACGACTGCTTATGTCGCTATTTGCAACATCGACTGTTTGTTTGCGAAGATCACCAAAAACTAAAAAATATGTTTAATTCTCGTAATTTACAAAGAGCGTGTTTGAATAGCTTACGTGACTTTTTGCTTTTCGTCTTATTCTCCATGTTTAGATGATGAGATGCTTAGGATGGTTTATCCTCCTCTTTAAATTATTGGGCAACTTCACATAAACATTAAATGTGTTCTACAAGCACGCCAATCAATGCAAATTTTCATCAATATCTTTTAAAAATTTTTTTATGATGAAAATAAAATCTAGTTTTTTCTTCGGTAATTGCCGCCAAATAAAATGTATAAGCGATTTCCTTAAAATCCTTAGTTTTTACTTTGTTTATGTCAGCAAATTTCAATTTTACCTTAATAATATTTCAGAGTATTTTGGTGCCGAAAGTTTATATTTTATTTGCTTTTGAGTTAAGAATTATTTAATATAAAATGCTTCGCTTATCAAAAGCTATAACTCTTTGTAATAGTTTTCACGATTGACAGGATGAATAGAACGGTAAACAATAACTTTACGACGCCATATTGGAAAAAAGTAAGGTTGCCACACCCATATACTGTAGTCTTTATTACATGTACAATGAAGTAAATCCTTAGTATCAAGTTTAGCAAAGAAGACTAAACAGATCGGAAGTTAAAACTGATTGGAAGAGGGTTTATTTCATTTATTTATATTTTGCTCCCGCTAAACAAAATATTGGATTTGTCAGAAGTCCAGCGTTCAATGTGTGTTGCGGCAAAAAAAAATAACGCCGGCATTTGTAATGGCTCTTCGCGAACAAGCCTTATGCTATCGAGCCCATAGCGATTTTTCTACATTCTTGCTGTAATTAATAGCGTACCACTTGCCGCTGCATGCATCGTCAACATTTACAATGTATCTTTGACTTGGAGGTGGATTTTCGTCTCGTTTCTGTTCTAATACGTTACACATTTCAATTCCAAACCGAATGTAATCGTACTCCTCAGCTTTACACTCATATAATAGAAATCATATATACCAATGAAGTTGGCAATCCTAGTAACAATAAGAGCGCTAAACCACTTGTTGTTCAGCTTCAATTTATTTTTTTTTTCTATTGCTAAATTTCGTGGAATCTGGAAGAGGCCGCTGGTAAGTTGTAGTAATTGTTTATAAGAAATGATACCTATAATATTTCTATAAGCACTAGGGAGTGAATAATTGGCATTGATTAAATATTTTAAATATTTTTTTTTTTTTTTGATTTGTTTGGAAATGGATTGGACCAGTTAAGTTAATATTATATCCATAATCCAGAAACGTAGTTCAAAGCGATTGATGAAAACTTCGAGCATAGGTAGAGACTGATGTGGCAGAGTGTTCGCTATGAGAAGCTCTGTTCCGCTGTCAACCCATAAATTACCGTACTTGGTACTGTACAGTCAAAAATCCGACTAGAAATGCCGACAAAAGAAAAAGTATTGTAATAGAAATTCTAAATGCAAAATTAGAACGAAAAATCAGCTGATTTGATAAAGGCAGTCAGTTGCTTCAAATACCTAAAGATACCAGCACGAAAAATTTCATATAAATTGTTATACAAGTTAAATATACTGAAAGACTGTCTAAGGATGTCAAACCTCCTGCATTCAAAAATAAGGTGCTCGGCAGACTCAGTAATATTGCAATCTTCACAGATGTCAGTGAAGGAGACTTTGATCATTTTAAAATAAGCCTTGTCGTAAGTGTGATTACTCATAAGACGGTGAAGAACTTTAAATTCCCATGTAGTAAATTTTCCTTTAGGTAGAATTGTGGGTGTCAAAAAAGGGTAAATTTTGTAGAAAAGCCAATCACTTTTTTCTCTGGCTAAAACATGATACTCGTCTTTCCATTCTTTTACGGCAAGTTTTTTGACTAGCAGAAGAGCTTCGCTGGGGGAGTAGTTTATCGACAAAAACTTACCATCAAACCTAGCTTGATGAGCGTGGAAGTCAGCTTTTTCATCGATACTAAAACCGCAGTGACCTGGGATCCAGATGATGTGGCATTTTTCAATGCTTGGGTCTTTTAAAAGGTTGTAGATATCGAAGACATACATATTGAATGGGTCTTTGTTCTTGATTAAAGTTGGAGCAGATTAGCTGTCAGAGAAAACTACAAATCTTTTCAGCTTAATTTCAGATGCATAGAGGAGTGCTTGTCTGATGGCCAGAAGTTCAATGAAAGTATATGATAGTTCTTGTAGAACTTTGAATTTTGCTATAAGTAAGTTTGGGTATTCAATAATTGAAAAACTAGAGATGTCCGAATTGATAGATCCATCCGTTGCGTAAATTTTGAAGTTATTTTCGACGAAGTGGTTAAATTTTGCAGACAAGCAATTCAAAGCCAAGACCTTGACCGATTTTTTTTTGAGTTGGTGGTCGAATTAAGTAAGTTTAATTCCACTACGCATTTATCATGAATGATATTATTCCAAGAGGGTATTGAGTTAACTTTATTGAAGATGTTACTGAATTTTTTGAAGCAGTTAGAGTAACTACTGATGACGTGATTGTGTTTGGAAGCGACTTCGTCAAAGAAGGCAGGTTTAAAGATTTTTACCTTGAGAAGTTCCTTTGCAGTTACAAGATAAATTCTCTTAGCAACGGGGAGTTCATAAGAGGTGGAACGTATTGATATTGGTGTTGAGGGGGACAAACCGGTACAACGTCTTAGGATTAAGTGTTGAAAGGTTTGTATTTTTTTTTAATGTTTACGCAGGAGCATTGCACGATGTAGAGTAAGAATATTCAATATTCATACGAACAAAGGGAAAAAAGTTTACTTGGAAAAGAAGAAAACGCTTAAAATCAGATGGTGTCGTTCAAAATATTTATCTCCCGTAGATGCATTTTATCCGCAACCGAAGCCTACTTCACTGACGATTTCTCAATGCTCCTTAGTATTCCACACAAACTTTAACAAATTTGACCATATCGCATCTAAATTTGATTCAATGCCACGAAAACATGGCTCCATCTCCGACATAGTCAAAGATTATAATAAAACTAAAGATAAATTCAAACCTACCTTTGGAATATAGCGAATATTGCTTCATTGCGAAGACGGGCGGAGGCATGGACGTTCGCTATTATGGACTGGCGGTGGGCAGCACATTTTGTTTGTCAATCTAAAATTAAATAACAGCGGTAGGCGTTCTTGGCGCACCAGTCTCGTCCGTTCTAGTTTCAGCGTTGCAAATCATATCCGTCAGTCCTAATATAACATCGTCTATGACTGGTATATTCCCATCTTGTAGGCCCTCCTCAAACCCAAAAAACCCTTCCACTTACACGGATACTTTCCAGTGGCCTCTATTCACGTTTGATTTGTTTCTTAATGGTCTCAACCGCTCGCTTATACCGCAGATGTTGCGCATACCGTAGGTATGTTGTATGAACGGTACCGATAAAGATCATTAAAAGAATAAAGTGTGTAATTTAATTTATATGAATTATATTAATCTCTTATGTGACATTCAATTTGGTTTTTTGTGCAATCAAAAATTTGAGCTCTGATCATGTCCTGACTGTAAAATTAGCTTTTAATCATTGTTTTACATGTCACAACTAACATTGGCTTTAATTCGTTCTTGGTGTTTTTGAGGTAAAATAAATGAACTTACCGTAGTAAAAATAAATAAATGACAAAACGTAAATCCTTCCAACAATTTGTGATTGTATGGATTGGATTAGCTGGCGCCTCAATACGAGATAGCTAGGGAACTCGGTGTATTGAATCTGTTAAATATTTTATGAAAAATTTTATTAAATATTTTATTAAATAATTTTAAAATATACTTCTGTAAAAGTAAGAGAAGATATTTTTGAAGAGAAGCAATTATTTTATTTTTGTGCTTTGACTTTGAAAACACGCCTTTTTTTAATTTCAAAAAACTTTTCTTTTAAATTAATTTCACAAATCAGAACCACTTTTAGGGAAAACTCTCTTCTGCAAGATTTTCTTTTTTCAAAATTTTTTTTCATTACCACCAACCGCAAAAATTAATTTGAATTATCTTATTTTACCCTCGCATATGTCCAGCTCAGAGTTGTTTTTAAAGAATTTAAATTAATTCATTTTTTCCTCCATCATATGTTCAGCGCAGAGTTGTTTTTAATATGATGTTAAAACTGGGATGTTAATACTGTGAGCAAAAAATTGAGGTTTGAATGTTACCGAAAAGCACTCCAACGTTATCTCAAAATTATCAAGAATCAACACACAGTTATCTCAAAATGGACAAATTTAACCAGTGTGTATGTGAAAATGGTCAAAATCAATCCACACTAGTCTGAAAATGGACAAAACCAATCCACACTACTCTGGAAATGAACAAAATACATATATTTTTTAGTATAAGTAAACAAAAACTCAGAAAAATTCTCCCTAAAAATTTTTATTTTGTTTTTACTGTAAACACCTGTAGCATAATTCTCTGATTAAATAAATTTTCCTTATTTTGTACAAAAAGCAAATAACAAGAAAATTTGATAATTTAATAAGTATAGTAAGGTAATGAAATTTGAACATATAAATGATCTCAATCAAATGGTGACTATATTCCTTCACAAATCCTTCTATTCGTCTAATATATTTGCACTCCTATATGAGACTCTAATGCATATGCATGTATACTTACTACCTTCAAGCTAATACATATCTTAAATTGCTGTTGTTACTCATTGCTCTGTATCAACTTAAAATTATTCGATAAATAAACAAAATCCCAAAATATTTAAAATAATAAAAATCTTCTAAAAATTAAAGTGCCATAAAATGAAATAAGAAGCCAATTAAAAAACAGGAAAAAAACTTCTCATGAAATGATTTTGGTTACGTCGCAGACGCGAGAGGACGCAAAGTTAACCATTAACTTTATTAAGGCTCATGTAAAGAACTTTGTGCTTGAACCTGTTTTGCACAGTCCAATGAATCATCTATTGTTGAAGAAAAATTCTTAAATGAAAAAAAGTAAGACCGTTATAGTTGTGGTCTGATTTTCATCATGAAGCGTTGAAAATTAGACATTTTTGTTATATGTACTTCAGTTTCGTTACATGAGATAGAATTTTATTCTATGTAACAACATTCCAAAATATGAGGTTAAACTGAGAACATGTATCATTCGCAATTTTGCTCACTTCACGTAAATCACAACATTGGTAAAACGATAAATAAATATATCTACTTGTGCAAAAACGGGAAAATTCGGCCATGCTCTGGGGATGTATCGGAAAAAATTACAGGTTTCCAAACCACTATTTCGCGAAAGTATGTCATATGAGTAGCGGGTGGTAGAGGTATAGCTGCCGGGTTTTCCATCATCTGCTTTTCAATCAATTTTTGTATTTTAAGTGCACGTACCGGTACTACGAAAATTTCCTCAAATTTCGATTTTTTATATTTAAATATTGTCAATTTCAAGTTGGGAGCTAAAAGATTATATTGCAAAAATAGTTACTTTTCACTACTTGTTCAACGTTTTTCCCCAAAAACATTTGGCAGGCCGCAA